TCAATCTTTTCTCCATTTACCATGATGTTGCTTATTAGTCCAGTTGTGAGGATTTTTATTTTCTTTATGTTGATGTGTGGCCATACTGAAGACTGTAGTCTTTGATCTTCATCTGAAAGTGCTTCAAGTCATCTTCACATTCAGCAATCAAGGCTGTGTTGTCTGCATATTGGCAGCTTGTTAATGAGTCTTCCTCCAGTCTTGATGCTGTGTTCTTCAGATAGTGCAGCTTCTCAGATTATTTGCTCAGCATACAGATTCAATAAGTATGGTGAAAGGGTACAACCCTGACACACACCCTTCCTGATTTTAAAACATGCGGTATTCCCTTTTTCCGTTTGAACAATAGTCTCTTGGTCTATGTACAGGTTCCTCATGAGCACAATTAAGTGTTCTGGAATTCCCATTCTTTGCAATGTTATCCATAATTTATTATGATCCACATAGTCAAATGATTTTGCATAGTCAATAAAACACAGGTAAACATCTTTTTTATGTTCTTTGTTTTCAGCCAAGATTTATCTGCTATCAGCAATGATATCCCTTGTTCCATGTCCTCTTCCAAATCCAGCTTGAATATTAGGGTTATTAAACTCAAACTCACTGCCATTAAGTTGATTCTGACTCATAGTGGCCCCTACTGGGTTTCTGAGGCTGTAAATCTTTATAGAAGTAGATTGTCTCATCTTCCTCCCACGGAGCAGCTGGTGGCTTTGAACCGCTGACCTTCTGGTTAGCAGCCAAATGCCTTATCCATTATGCCACCTAATTAGGGTTATTAGCACAGGACACTGCCATCAAGTTGGGCCCAACTCATAGTGACCCCTCCTTGGGTTTCCAAGGTGATATCACTATGAAAGTAGATTGCCGAACCTTCCTTCCTAGGAATGGCTGGTGGGTTTGACTTCCAGCCTTCTGGTTAGCAGTCAAATGCCTTAGGCACTACACCACCAGGGTTATTGTTGTTGTTGTTGTTGTTATGTGCCGTCGAGTCGCCCCGACTCATAGCGACCCCTCCTTGGGTTTCCGAGGCAGTATCACTACGGAAGTAGGATTGCCCAACCTTCCTTCCGGGGAGTGGCTGGTGGGTTTGAACAGCCAGCCATCTGGTTAGCAGGCAAGTGTCTTAGCCACTATGCTACCAGAGCTCCCTACCAGGGTTATTAGGGGTAAGTAATTAATCTAGGCTCTCCCTCTGATCCCCTCCAGAAAATTGAAATTATTGCTCCAGGGTCATTCCTACAGATGGTGAACACTACGAAGCTCTGTAAGAAATATCTGTTGCTTTTCTTTTATTGTAAATAATGCAATTTGAATGACTGAATAGTTGGTGATGAAATGGAGAAAGTTGTTCTAACCTTTGGGGCACATAAGACCCCATGGCACATTGATTTTTTTTTTTTTTTTTTTTTTGTGATTTGGGTGAAAGTTTACAGAGCAAATTCACTTTCCATACAGCAGCTCACATACACTTTGTCTCATGACATTGATTACAACTTATCACAATGCAGCAGCTCCCCTCGCACTTTCTCCCCATAGTTACCTCTGCCCTGTGTCCTTCCCTCCATGCACTCCTGCATCCTGAGCTGTCTCCCTGTGTATACACAACCCTTCTATTCTCCCATGATTGTTCTCTACAAGGAGTGTATCTACCTAATGTAAATGTTCACCTCATACGCCTACCTTTTGTTTGGCTGGAAGCGTCAGGTATAGGTTCAATTCCAGACCTGAAGATAGGTAGAGGCCATAGTCTCAGTGGTTCCATCAGGTTCTATCAGAAAAAGCAAACCTGGTCCTTTCTTTTTCAAGATTTTCAATTTTGTTCCACATTGTTCTCCCGCTCTATCCAGGATCTCCTACATAGATCCCTACCCTGAGTGGTTGATAGTGGTAGCCGGGCACCATCTAGTTCTTCTGGCCTCATAGTCATATAGACTAAGGATCGCATGGTGTACCAGTTGCTTGGACTGATTGTTTCCATGAATCTTTGGTTTTCTTCATTTTTCTTTGCTCTGAATGAGGAGAGATCCATCGTTACTTCTAGATGGCCGCTTGCAAGCTTTTAAGATCCCAGTTGTTACTCACCAAAGCAGGATGGGGAACAATGTTTTGTGTAGTATGTTATGCCAGGCACACTGATTTTTATTGTTAGTACAAATATGTAGTTCAGATCTGCAATACTACTGTATTTGTGGTGGGATGTTCCCTAGGTTAAAATCTCCCTCCTCCTAGATATGCAACCCCAGAACTTGTGCTTCCTGTGATGTAATTTTTAAATTGCAAATAAGTTTTCACAGCAGAAATTTATTGACAATTTGGTGAAGCTGATGTAGTCAGTGGAGTGCCTCAGAGTGCTGTGCTGTTAAAATTAAGCAGAAGCCCCAAGAAGTTATGCTAAGCCAGCCACCAGCAAAGGCAAACTCAGCATTTTACCGGTTCTCCTGTAAAGTGAAGGAGCCCTGGTTGCACAGTGGTTAAGCACGTTTGGATGCTAACTGAAAGATGGGCAGCACTTTGAACCTCCCAACAGCTCCATGAGGGAAAGATGTGGTAATCTGCTCCCATAAAGATTACACCCTTGGAAACCCTTTGGGGCAGTTCTACTGTCCTAGAGGGCCGTTAGGAGTTCTAGTAGCATAGTGCCTAAGGCACTTGACTGCTAACCAGAAGGCTGGCAGTTCAAATACACCAGCAGCTCCTCGGAAGGAAGGTTGGGCAATCTACTTCAGTAGTGATACTGCCTCGGCAACCCAAGAAGGGGTCGCTATGAGTAGGGTCTGACTCGACGGCACATAACAACAGAGGGCTGCTATGAGTTGAAGTGGACTCCATGGCACACAACAATCTAGGCTTCCTGGAAAAGTTTTTTCCATACCACTGTTAATTCTGGTTTCTGTTAGGAAATTATGTAAAATATGACAAATTATTTAAGTGCTATAATAATAACTTGCTTTTTTATTTTTTAAAAAAAGTCAGTTTGTTAAGAACCCTTACCAACTCACCCTTTCAGCTTTCCTATAAAAAACCCTACTTGTAGAATATATTTCTAAATTCATCTCCCACCCCAAATCTCTTGACCCCAGCTATTAACCTTCAAGATAGTTTCTAACTGTTAATGTTAGTAGAAAAAATTACCACTCCAAGTGTGGCATTGTATACCATTATTTCAGTGACCTTTGCTTTGGTTATGGTTGTTCTGTTTTCTTAATTTAAGATTCTAGAAGTGTTTATTTCAAATGGCCCTCAGCTCATAAGCCTTTCCTGGGGCCCTTTCCATTTTCAACTTCACCCATTAGAAAGACACAACTGGGAAACTAAGGAAAACCCACAAGGCAAAGAAGGAAAGCTGAGTTTAAAATTCAGGTACATGAGTGAGAGCAAGTGATCCCTGGTTAATCAGCTCTCCAAGGGGGGCCTGCTCAGCTACAGAGTACAGAAATTGCTGGAGGAACCAGCCTAGCACAGCCAAGCTTTGCAGGACATTTCTCAAGGCAAAGAACCTGATTGATTCCATAAATCCCCTACAAAAATTTCCCTCATCCCCACACATACTTTCCTTAGTCTTTACTGGGGTTCCAGAGTTTAATCCACCTTTGTCATCAAATACTTTGAGTTTCTACACAACACAGAACACTTTACCAGATTCTGGTTAAGAAATGAGGACTTCTAGTGCACTTGGAGGAACTCTGGTGGTGTAGTGCCTAAGGCAGTTGACAGCTAACCAGAAGGCTGGCGGGGTCAAACCCACCAGCCACTCCTCGGAAGGAAGAATGGACAAGCTACTTCCCTAGAGATACTGTCTTGGAAACCCAAGGACGGGTCACTATGAGTTGGGACCAGTGAGGTTTGAGTGAGTGCGCTTGGGGAAGGGATGATTACCAGTAAAAGCACCAACTGCATCTCCCATGTGGGGCAGGCAGTAAAAGCCACATGGATGCCTCTTCAAGGACTAGGGGCACTGGGGGAAACCTGCTGGAGTAGATAAGAGATTATGGCTGGTGGGGGAGGGGTTGTGGAGAGTCAACTCCCCCTCCCTTCCCCTCCCTCC